AATACAGAAAAAGGAGATATCTTTTACTTATTAGATTGACAAATCAAAATGAATGGGAAATCAGTGGGAGCAAATTAAAGACAATTCATGCAGTGCTGGTAAATTTCTAAGTTGAACACTTCTGCTGGAAGAACAGTTTAATGATCTGTATAAAAACCCCTAAATTTGTGCCCATCTTTTAACCAATCAATTATATTTCAAGTAATTCATCCGAAGGAAAAAGTTGAGTCAGCAAAGACATACATACTCAAATATTTTTAGCAAAATCACTTGGATTATCAATAGTTGTCATTTGTCAAAGTTGGAAACAATCCCAAAGTGCACCAAGAGGATAAATTAAATGACAATATAGCTATATAGTGGACTACTATTAAAATATTATGCGACATGTCTACTTTCTGATATTGTATCTCATGGAGAAAAAAGATATGAAAATCTTTGTATGATCCCATTTTTATAATTTAAAGAAGTGAGAATGGGGCCTCCCTGGTGGCACAAGGGGTTAAGCACAGCACTATGAAACAATCCACAGCCTCTACAGCACAAGTTCGATTCCAGTGGGCCAGGGAGCAACCCACATGGCGCAGCAGACCTCTCCTGCCTTGCCCGCTGCTCCCCTCAGGAGTGTATTTCAGTCATTTTGCCTGTTCTGCTCCCCACTTTGTCTCTGGTGAATCCTTTCACCCCCTGCACCTCTGGCCTGTACCCCAGTTCTTGTATGCATAAATAAATGAATCTTTAAAAAAAAAAAAAAAGTGAGAATGTGTATATTCATGCAGTCTTTGAAGATGTCAAATCAGTGTTCAATACTAATTATCTGGGCCTCCCCAGTGGTGCAGTGGGTTGAGTGCAGTGCTGTGAAGCTTTCCGCAGCCTCTGCGGCACTGGTTAGATTCCTGTTGGGCCCAGGGAGATTCCCACATGGCATGACAGACCTCTCCCGTCTCGCCCACTGCTCCCCTCAGCAGTGTATTTTGGTCCTTTTGTCTGTTCTGCACCCTGCTCTGTCTCTGGTGGATTCTCTCATCCTCCTGCACCTCTGGCCTGTACCCCAGTACTTGTATAAATAAATAAATCTTTAAAAAAATATACTAATTGGGCCTCCCCAGTGGTGTAGTGGGTGGCGCAGCGGTTGAAAACTGGGCTGCGATGGGCAGCCTTTGTAGCGCCGGTTCAATTCCTGGCCAGCCCGCGAGGGTCCCACATGGCACGCAAACCTCAACTGCTGAGCCTGCTGCTCCCCTCAGCAGTGTATTTCGTCGGTCTGCCTGTTCTGTTCCTGGCTCTGGCTCTGGTGAATTCTCTTACTCTCCCGCACTTCTGACTGTACCCAGTGCTTGTATAAATAAATAAATCTTTAAAATACTAATTATCTCCAGTAAATAAAATTAGAAAGTTTTTAACTATCTCCTTTATAACTTTTTGTACTATACTGAACATTCATAGTCCTCACCGTCATTAATCTAGCTTCCTCATATGCAAAACGCAGTTCTGATTATCTCTAATCCAACCATATTCTGACCAAACAGGCCTCTCTGTAATCTCACTGTTACAATCAGAACTCGTATTTTGTATCCAAAAATTCTACTCAGATTAAGTAGAAAAGGGAATATAATGACTTGCATAAATTGAAGGTCCAGGATAGCACTAACTTAAAGCCTCGCTACTGATGAAAAGATTCAAACACTATCATCAGAACTTGGCCTCACTCTTTTCATCTTCTGGCTCTGCTTTCCATTTACTGGCAAGCTCTAGGTTTACATTCTATTCTCTCAGCAACCCTGGACTCAAAGCATGCCTCTTTCTCAATAGTTCCAATAAAAAATTCAGAATTAACACTCGCGTGCTAACTGGAAAATGTGTCCATCTGGAACAACCACTGGCCTGAGGGACAGAAACTACACTGGCTAGATCTGAGTCATGTGCACACGCCGGTGGTGAGCACCCCTGTGCTAAAATCCCCTGTGGTAAAATCCATTTTAACTGTGAAGGGTGGTTCCTTAGGAAAATTGGAGTACTGCTATCAGATAAAGAGGAATACATGAGGAACTGGCAAAATTAACATGTCTCCTATACTCTTAAGACTTTTTGACAGTCACCACTGCCTGAAATGACATTCCTTCTCATTTCTGCCCAAATTCAAGCTACACCCTTTCTCCCCCATGAAGTCGTCTGTAATTTCTTCTAAGATTTTTTTTTTGTCCATTTGATGAAGTTGTCCATTCCAAAATGTTTCTCTTTTTCTAAGATCAATTGGTCTTTTTCTAAGCTCAATCTGTTTAAACAGGAAGGAAAAACCTCAAGAATTGTTTCTAATGAATTTTAATCATGTCAAATTATAAACAGTATGGGTAATAAATGTTGTTTCTTAGCATGTAAACTCCTGAAGGACAGCAGCTCTACCAGACACATTCTACATATTATGAAAGAACATACTATGGCAACCTAGAGACATAAAGCATACTAACACTTTTACTCGGCTTTAAATTTTCTATAGGGTCTAAAGACATAAGATGAGTTGGGTCTGAATTCATCTAACAATCTGGTCTAATGGGTATATGAATTTTTGAGTTACATCAAACAAAACTCAATTCTGGCTGATACAGTCTTCCCTGGCTTTTAGCGACCAGATCTTGAACAAATTATCTAAAATCTGCAAATCACAGTTTCACTGTCTGTAAAAACAGGACTAGTGATACCTATGTGTAATCTGCACAAAGCTAGTCTATGTAGAATAGTTAGTTGAAGTAGGCTGAAATGTTACCTCTAGTGCTAGATACATAACTTTTTCTAATTGAGTCTTCATATGTAAAGTAGGGATAATCCATTGGCTGCTGTGAGCTTTTCTAAGAAAGCAATGTATTTTAAAATACAAATAGCAAACAGCAAACACTGGAGAAATGGTGCTGTCCATGTCAAATTAACAGTTTATAATATTCAGTATTTGTGTACTTAGCAAGGTCTAGCTAAGATTTCTTACACTTTGTGATATTTCTAATGTTAGAAATTTATCTAGTCTGCTAGGTTATAAAATACCTTATAATTTTTTCTCTGTATTTTTTGAGCAGATAAAGTATCAGCCAACAATAATCTGGTTTACATAGATACTATTAAAGCAATAAAATAAGTGTGGATAATAACATTAAAAGTTCAGAGCACAGGACTTCCCCGGTGGCGCAGCAGTTGAGCGCTGGGTTGCGAAGCTGCCCGCAGCCTCTGCAGCGCTGGTTCGATCCCTGGCCACTGGGTGAGGGTCCCACATGGCGCGCAGACCTCTCCTGCAGCCCTCTGCTCCCCTCAGCAGTATATTTCGTCAGTCTGCCTGTTCTGCTCTCCGCTCTGGTGAATTCTCTCACCCTCCCGCACTTCTGACTGTACCCAGTGCTTGTATAAATAAATAAATCAGAGCACAATGATGGGGAAATTCACTGGGATTACTTATTATTCTTCACAAATGTCCTTGGGTTTTGTTAGTAAAATATTTATTTCTTAAAGGCAAAACCTGTCAGTCCTACAACTATTTAAAAGCTGGTAAGATAATAAACTAGATAAACTCTTGTAATCAACTTGTTCCTTAGCTTCAGGCTTAATGTAGAAATACTGAAATGACTCACACTAATATGAAATCACTGTGCGATACATCTTTTAAGTAGTTATATACCTTATAGCCATCTCCTGAACAGAATGAGGTAATATGGGGTTATGAATGATGGCTTTAGATATCATGTCAGAACACATGCAAAAGTGGCTGCTCATATTTGCCTTAGCGAGAAAGTTTGATTTTAATACTCAGTAAAAACACAAACTACACTCAACTATATACAACTGTTTCCAAAAAGAGATTTAAGAAGCAGGCATTTAATTTCTTCCATTACAACACACTTGAAGAAAAGTTTCCTTGGAAAGAATAGTTTCTGAAAGTAGTGCAACAACTTTGTTTATTTTTCTAACATGAATGAATCATGTACAATACTTATCAATCTTTAATGCGTGCATAAACTGGGAAAATGTTAAATTGAAGATTTTAAAATAAAATGGGATAAACATAAGACACAAAGTACTAAAGACCCTTGACTGCAAAAGCACTGTGAGAATAAAATACTTGTCTACATCATCTTACACAAACCCGTGTTAAGGGATTTCCCCTTCTTTGTATTTGTGTAAAATATGAATAGACTCAGTTGTTAATCTACTCTCTGAGGAAGCTATATTTTAGACAATAGAAACATATTATGTTGAACACTTTTGTCACCCTACATTGTTCTCAACAACTAAGAAAACCAAACAATACCTAATTCCTCATTATCTTTCCTATTTTCAAAAATAAGTACAAAATAAAATGTTTTTTAAAAGGCATTACATACAGGCAAGGTAGGCAAGCTATGTGTCTTTTGTAAGTAATTTTCTTCAACTTTTGGGAGGAGGGCATCCCATGAGAGAGTAATGTAATGCAAGGCTGAAGATGGGTTCCAGTTTTTTTACAAACATTTGTTAAGTCAACTAGACGAAAGCGGAGACAGACAAATTACAGCATTCAGGTTCACAGTAACAAGAAGTCTCTGGAAAAAACGCCAGTGCTGAGATCGTTGCTTTTTGACACTGCAACTACCAATGCTGCTCCGCTCTATTAAGAATGGGCTATAATCCCAGTTTTAGCAAGATCAAGTTGGCATCCCAAATCCGAGTGGGCCTGGAGAAACCCGGGCGGGGCAGGAGTCTACCTCAGCAGTGGCAGAAGTCAATTTCCCGAGAGAGTGAAAACCATCAACCCGCCGCGGTACTCCTCCTAGAGAGACGCCGCTGTCCGCCGCCTTGCCCCAGGCTCGAGGTCTGGCCCGCAGGCCCGGGGGGCTGAGTGCCCTGGGACAGTTCTCCCCGTTACCCGGGTCCCCACCCCAAGTCTAAGAAGCCCGTTGCTGCAAATAACTCTCTCGATGCCCTCCACCCCTCCCCGCCGGGTGGGGCGGCCCCGCGCCTGCAGGGATGCCCGTCCCGCTCACCCGCGCGGGTGGTGTCCGTCAGGTCGTGGCTGGCCGCTCCCCGGGGAAACTCCCTCAGTTTCCGGCCGCTCAAGCTCAGCACCCCAGTTACAGCCGCCTCCTCCAGTGCTCGATCGAGGGAGCGGCTCCACGAACCCGGGCCAGGCCCAGGCCCTGCCCCTGAGTTTGGGCCGCAGCTAACACCGGAGGGGTTACCTCCGGACGCGACTGGGCCAGAATACTCGGCAGCCGCGGCCACAGCCACCAAACCCGCGGCCGCCATTTCCCTGCGACTACTCTCGGCCCGCCCGTGCGGCGCATGCGCGGCCAGAACTGCTGGGTGGGCGGGGCAAGAGGCGCACACACCCCGGGCGCCCCGAGGATGGGCGCGAGGCGGTGCCCGCTGCGCACCCCCGGGCTCGCCTCCGCCTGCGTCGAGTTTTCCAGGGAAACTAAGTCGGAACTCAAAATCTAGACAGCTCCCTACTCTAGGCTCCCAGTATCTTTCAGAACACGCGCCGCACCAAAACTTCCCGGCCTTTCTCCCTCAGTACTGGAGGATTAGACTTAAGCATTAAATTAGAATTTAAAAAAATTAAAGTAACATTGCATTGTAACATTATATAGGTTTTAGGAGTGCATCACTAAAAATCAACATGTGTATGTATTAGATTACCACTAAAAGTCCAATTCTAATTTTCACTGTACGGTTGTCCCCTTTTCCCAACCCTCCCTCCCTCTCCCCTCCACCGCAAGGTTTACCATTTGTTGCTAACAACTTCAGTAGCTGGGACACAACCTAAAATGTTTCCTCACTTCTGTCATTCTATGTAACTAAATATAAATTAAGACTTGTGGATTTATCAATTATTAACTAAGGGAAAAATAAGTGACTCCCAAACTCCGTAAATATTTTAGGCCCTCCCTCTTTTATAAAATCACTCTTATAAAGCAAACATCTTAAACAATTTTGTTGCTGAACAAAGCAGGAAAAAAGTCATTGTCAGAGAGCAAATTTGAGGAAGAGGAAAATGATCTAAATGTGTGAATTAAAGGTAAAACCGAAGAAATTGTCAAAAGGAAACCATTTAACTACTGAAAAAGTGGAAAATACTTCATTCTCAACAAACCGGACCTCACTTAATATTGCAAAGTCTTCCGCAGTTTTTTTTTAACATTTAAGCCATTCTTGCTACATAATATAAAATTTCCCTGCAATCAACTACTATTTACTGTCTGAAATAAAAGAGGCTATCAAATAAAAGTCCCTTTCCTAAAAGATAAGCTAATTAATGGAATCCAAGTATACCCACTAGAGAATAAGACAAAAAACAGGTGAGTCAGTGGGGTGGGCATTATTAGAATTCAGAGAAAAGGAATCTGTATCAGGGATGAATGAGGTTTTGAATCAGAATTTTACGATTATGCAATATATAAACTGAAAGGTAAGGAGTATTTCAGACTAGGAGGATAAGCATGAACACACCCAGGCATGGTTTCTAACAGTTCCCTAGAGACCATTAAGGCCAGAAAGTCCAGTCAGAGAAGAAAACAAGAGGTTGGAGAGATCCTACCCATCATCAATCAAGGCCCCACTCTTTAATGAAACCTTTAATAGCAAACTCCAATCCTAAACTCAAGATTGTAAAAATTAAGTTTAATCTTAATGTCGAAGTTGATTAGGAACTGCAACTCGGAGTTGTCCTATGAACTCTTAATACTGTATTCTTAGTTCTTCACTAACAAGTCCATGATTATCAATGTTATGAGCATGAGTCACCCAATGGGAAGTGATGTATATTTGCCATCATTGCAAAAAACACTTACCTGATATATATGAATTTGTTATTCTGGTCTTAAAGTTTTGTTATTTTTGGAAAGACTAAGTTATTTTACGGCAGGACCTCATTTTTTAATTTTTTGGTGAGATTTCAGCTACAATGATTGCGTATAATTATACATTATATAGTAATACATTATACAAAGTGGCTAGTATCTTTCTAAAATGCATCATTCATGTCATCTATATTTGATTACCTATTACCTTCCACATGTATGCTAAATTCTTCTGACAAGTTCTCCCTAATATGGCTTCCTTCTATCTGCCTCCACATCATTGTAATTACAACATACCAAACTAATTCTAGCTTGTGAACTTCTGACCAAATTTGTAAGATGCTATTTTGCCTATTCAACTAGATTTTAGGGTTTCTAATATGTTTAATTCTGTACTATAATTATCTCCCAAATGTCAGGGCTGACTATCACAGGAATTTAAAAATAGTAAGAACGAGTGGAAAGCAGCAGAGATAAAATATAGATTTTGTACTAACAGTGTGGAGGTTTTGTACTAATACAGAAGTCAGGAAGGAGAAGTTATGATTTTTGAGTAGCTTACAGGTCTGCAGACATTTAATGTTGAAAAGAAAGTCCTGTAGATATGGGGGGAAATGCCAAGCCCAGGTGAAGAAAGGTTGGTAGATTGATTGAAGAGTTACTTTCTAGATTTCTAATGATTTGAGGCTTCATCTACAAATATAGACTATGAGGAAATTTGCATCCCATCCAATTTTCTCCCCAAAGCAAGTGACAAGGTCATTTTGTGAGAACGAAGATATAATAGGAGTTACTGTGTGGCAAGTTCAAGTCGTGGTTAAAGAACTGAGAAACAATTGCAAAATGGTTGGATCTATAACCTATTCTACTACTGCTCTGTGGTCATGAGCTGAAAAAAGTAGGCAGTGGGGGATATTGAATGTTAGGAATTGATATGGAGAACTTCCCTGCTTCTTCCTGTTTATTTTACAGACTAAAAGTTAACTCATTCAATACTGGGGTAAAGTCTCACTTAAATCTCAATATTTCTCTTCAACTATGGATCTCACTATATCATGTAAACTTAAAGTCCTTTCCCCATTTCTACTTACAAGAAATATATTATTACTCTCTTAAGAATCTCCTTTATAAATTCAAAGCACTAGGATTAATCTCGGTCAATCCTATTCTCTTAATATGTAAAGCACGAAACTGGCTTGTTGAATATATTTAATTAGTCTGGTTCTTCCTTTTCTCCTTTACAAGCTCAAAATGTGACTGCAGAAAGGGGGGAAGATGTCCAGTGACCTACAATTGATTATGGGTACTTTGGCGGTGGGTGCTGTGTGGTAACATATATCTGAAGAAGTTTGATCCTATTCCCCTAAATCATATACAGTATTGTAAACCAATGTTACCTCAAAATAAAGTAAGTAACAATACATGGGGAAAAATAAAATGTAAAGTTAAATCTAAAAATAAACCACCAACAATTGACTTTTTAAAACTTTAGATAAGAAAATTAAGACAATGTGATTTTCTTGTCATTTGAGGGACATTAAAGTATCAATTAAACACATACACACTAGAGAAGTAGTTTTCCTATTGTCTTTAAACACTGGTAAATTTCATCTGAATACACTCAAAACAAAGAATTTCTGTTCTGGAATGGTGTAACATTTCTTTCATCAAGCTTTTGTTGAACAGATTTCAGCTAGAAAGTAATCTAATGGCAGGGGGAAAAAAGGAGACATTTGAAGTTAACAATTTATAAGCACATTTTAAAATCCCTAATTAATGGTCCACAATAATTTAAATTTTTTGTTGTAAATGCTTAGGTTTATTTGTATCATTTTAAAAAAGAAACTAACTCCAAGTGATCTATGCAAAAAGAATTATTTTTAAAGGGAACCACAAAAAAAAAACTATCACATAATTCTGATTCAAGATCAAAAATATACTGATCAGAAATAAAGAAATTATTGGTTCCAATATTGCCTTTATTCAGAGTGTATGGTATTTATTCTCTGTAGTGCAACGCCAGCTATTATTAGTCACTCTCATCTCCTTACAGGAAATAAAATCACAACAAAATTCCCTGACACAGTGTATATTGCGTGAATTATAAAAATTGACATCAAAATATGATATACATACCTAATGTAACAAAAAACCATTAGGCAATGAAGTCCAAAAATTTCTTGATACTTAGGAATATTTTGATTTGCTTACAATTAAAACTGTGAGGTTTATGCCTGTATGAAAAAAATACATAACGTCTGATTATGAACACTGGCCTCTTCTAGTGGGTTTAACGTAACTTAAATACCAAACTAACTGACATTTCATAATAATCACTGCTAGCACAGATTTACTAACCATACTATAAATGCTAAAGCAAGGCTACTATCACTCCTTAGATATTTAACAAGCCACATAGCATTCCACCACTTTCTGTGGATGTTCATTTCAGAGCAACAGTTTATTATGAACCAAGAATTAAAAGATTTGAGCTCCAAAAATGACTCTCCAACATACAAATCTCAAAAATTTGGATTACACTTAACTAAAATGTAAAAAGCGGGATTGACTGGATGGTTTCTAAAGACTCATCTAACCTAATATTCTGTATTCTAAGTAAATTGTATTAAGTTTTCCTGGCTATCTCCCATTGGAAATGACCAAAAGGCAGTTAAGAGAGACATCAATATGGGTCTAGACTGATTTACCAATTTAGTTTGTAGTTAACTTTCAAACCCTAAAAATTATAATTACTATAAAGTCCTTTGCAACATTCAACATTCTAAAAACCACAACTGAATCTTTATAGCTAATAAATCATGTGAGACCTGTAACATTTTATTTTTTAAAAATGAACAGCTTCAGAATAGATCTAAATGTAACTTTTCCCAAAAACACCAAAAATTACAGTGTAAAGCATCTCATTAAATACAAACTTTCATTTTTGATGCACTGCATCAATGTTTTGCATACATCTTGATGCAAAGGAAATTTGAAGTTGCATCCTGTTCAAAAAAAAAAAATGTAGAACTGAAAAAGGATGACTACAATCACATTCCATGAAAGAAAATTTTTCTCCAACAAAACATCTTCTTTTGTTTATATACACCATATCGGCACTCAAGAATTTTAATTTAGATTTAACAAGGGCAAATGTTATATTTAAAAAGAAAATGAAATTACAGAAGCACAAAGAGCAAAAGTTTAACACATAAAGACACTGCTTTTTGATGCACTTAATTTTCAATATTTGGGACAATTTTTAAGGTTTCCAAAAAAGAAAATGGCATTAATAACAACTCTGTTTTTAAAATAACAACAAAATGAAAACATCTTTATACTGCATTTTAACAAACTGTTTAAACGCAGCAAACTCAAGCTCAGTTGTTTTCCCTTTGTTTAAGCTGCCAGTAATTATAAACCAGTCTAAAATACATCATTCATGGATCAAATCTAAGCATTCATACTTGCAAAAATGTTTTGCAGGAGTCCTCGGTCTATGGAAAGACTAGCGGTTATTTTCAAATTGTGACTGGCTTCCAATAATCCCTTATCAATAGACTTACTGGCAAAATACCAGATGTTAAGGATCAGATTTAATTCTTTGGTATAAGCATGTAACTATTATTGATAGTTTTCTGTGGCTAGCATAAACCAAGTAAACCCATGGAGAATATGACAACAATGAAGTCTAATCTACAATGCAAGGCAGGCAGGGGTGAAAAGTTTTTGTTTTTTTTTTTACAGGAAAAATCAACTACAATAAAATACTCCAGGGAAACTAACACCTACTTAAAAGTTTTAACATTATAGAAAACCAAAAGGTCAGGCATTAAGATGATCAAACTTTAAACTTGTCACTGGAATATTTTGCTCCATTCTAGCATTATACCATAACTTAGAGTATATAACTATCTGAGAACTGCTAGCTCTGGCTTGGCACAACCACTAACTCCTCCTTCCCCTCCAAAGTTGGGAGGGAGGACTCTTTTCTCATAAATGCCTGAATTTTATACAAGAAATCATAAAACAAGGTTACAATATTAACTCTATTATTCTGCATGTTTTGGTGACATACACTTGTTATTTTTGGAGCTGTATACAGTTTAATTTAGTTAGCTCAAAAGCTTATAAAATGTAACTCTTAAATAAGAAAATCTAGGGCTTTATGACTATTAATTTTACTATGGAAATATCTAAGGGACTCAATTCATTTAATAATTATATTTCTTCCAAATATCATTTGAAGAATTCTTTGTGGACACCAGACTCAAGACTACACTAAATCCAAACAGTATACCTATGACCTGGGTTTTAAAGTTTTTCACTTCAGTTACCATCCTCAATCTACTTCCTTTCATGCTTTCTTCATTTACTAAACACAACTTTCAGATTTTTGCACTTTGGAGGACATTTTCCTTCAAGACCCTATCAAATAACTGCAACACACATTTATAGCCTTCAAACACCAACATTTAAACTGAGACTAATGCCTACAACCAAATTTTTTATTGAAAGTTCAATACTAAAGATTTACAACTCTGGAGAATTAACCGAATATTACTTGAAAATGAACTAAGTTCCAGATATTTCCTTAAATCTTAAAACCCAAAACTGGAATTCTAATATATTTTTAATATCTTTAATGAGGAAAAGTCAACTGTACTGTTACATCAACACTATTAAAGGATAAGAGACAGCAACAAAAGGACCTGCTCATATTTCTGAAGACCAAAATTTACCATGACAAAGAGTAAAAAATGGGCAAAGGCAATGAGATCCTAAATACCACTATCATAAAAATAATCAATTTCTATCTTTCTGTCGTCTTTCTGTGGCAAGTGGAACTAAAGTCAAATAGAGAATTGGTCTATCTTGGCCAACCACAAAACCTTTGAGAACAGATAAGGTATATTCCCTGGTACACTTTCAGGGCATTTTTATATATGTTTAAAAAAAAAAAAAAAAAACACTTCAAAATAAAAATAAGAGTTATTTAGCCTTGTATTTTGAAATAAAGTTTCTTGAATTTCTGTGATGAACTTTTCAAGCAACTCAACTTTTAATATAGTCATCACTCAAGAGTCCCTTTTAACACAAGATCTATCCCACAGTTACAAAGCGGCTTCCTCCTTTGTTATACGTGAGAGTGGCTCTTTGTTCCTTCAGGATCCCAAATCGCTCATTCAAAGTCATCCCTGTCTAGAGAAAACAAAACAAACAAAAAATATTAATGATTTGATGGTAAGCTTTATTTGCTTTGACAATTGAGAGTAATAATAATTAACATTTCCTGAATATTTATGTGTACAAACACAATTCAAACAAAAACCATATAAAAGAGGCGAATGTAGTGAAGTACAGAGAAGTTAGGTAACACGTTTACTTGAAGATCCAAAATTTAAACCAGGCAAATTCTGATTCAGAATCCCTACTTATTTTTTTTTAAAGATTTATTTTATTGATTTATGCATATAAGAACTGGGGTATGGGCCTCCCCGGTGGCGCAGTGGTTGAGCGCTGGGTTGCTAAGCTGCCTGCAGCCTCTGCAGCACCTGTTTGATTCCCAGCCACCAGGCAAGGGTCCCACATGGCTTGCACGCCTCTCCTGTCGCCCGCTGCTCCCCTCAGCAGTGTGTTTCGTCCGTCTGCCTGCTCTGCTCTCCCCTATGGCTCTGGTGAATTCTCTCACCCTCCCGCTTCTGACGATACCCAGTGCTTATATAAATAAATAAATAAATCTTAAAAAAAAAAAAAAAAAAAAAAAGATTGTTAAATTGAGATTTTTTAAAGGAAAAAAAAAAAAAAAAGAACTGGGGTGTAAGCCAGAGGTGGGGGATTGGGTAAGAGGTTTTACCATAGACACAGTGGGGAGCAGAACAGGCAGATGTACTGAAAATACACTGCTGAGGGGAAGCAGTGGGCCAGACAGGAGAGTTCTGCTGTGCCATGTGGGTTAGCTCCCTGGCTGGAGATTGAACTCACGCCTCAGAGGCTGGGATAGTTTAATAGTGCTGAGACTTTAATCCTACGCCACCAGGAAGGTCCCAGAATCCTTATTTATTAGCCACTATAACTAGCTACATCATACACTACATAAAACACCTATATTATAATGCCTACACAAAATCAGACACCCAAAGCTCTGAATCGTTTTCAGGCTCTGCAAACACTTTTATCAGGTATGTCTGATTAAAAATTTAGACATATGAATATTTAGGAACAAATTCAAATCAAAATCTGGATTTTGACTAGCAGCAGAAGGCGTACCCAAACAACAGAAAGTTCACCATTTCTGTAACAACAAAATAAAGTAAAAACAAATAAAAAATTTTGGACAAGGGCCTTCCCTGGTGGCACAGCGGTTGAGCGCTGGGCTGCAAATGTGCCCGCAGCCTCTGCAGCGCCTGTTCAATCCCCGGCCACCGGTAAGAGTCCTACATGGCGCGCAGACCTTTCCTGCTGTGGCCGCTGCTCCCCTCAGCAGTGTATTTTGTCAGTCTGCCTCCTCTGTTCCCTGCTCTGGCTCTGGTGAATTCTCTCACCCTCCAGCACTTCTGACTGTACCCAATGCTTGTATAAATAAATCAACAAATCTTTAAAAAAAAAAAAATTTTGGACAAAGTCTGTACTTCACATCTTCAATTTTCTTCTATGCTTCGTATCTTCAATTCCAGAGATTATTATGTCAATAGATACCAAAGATACAATATCATTCATGATAAATATTTTTAGCAAATTAGGAACAGAAGATAACTCCCTGTGATAAGAGTATCTACTAAAAACCCAGTGCTACCATCATTTAATGGTGAAACATTTAATGTTTTCTCCACGCTCTCACTATTTCTATTTAACACTGTACAGGAAGTCATAGCCATTATGTTAATAGAAAAGAAAGAGATTTAGAGATTAAAAAGGAATTTGGAGCACATGATTATTTACACAGAAAATCCTCAAGAATCTACAAAATTATTAAAAGTAGTAAGTGAATTTAACAAAATCACATGATATAAGGTTAATAAAAACACTGTAAAAATCATGGTGGCATATACCATATCAGATGGCTAAAATCAAATGATAGATAATAACAAGCATTGATGAGATGTGGAGAAATTTAAACCCTCATACATACTGGTAACGATGTAAAACAGTGCAGTCACTATTTGGAAAACAGTCTGTCCTTTTCTCAAAATGTTAAAGAGTCATGATATTACCTATCAATTCTATTCTTCAGCATTTACCAAGGAGTAATTAATACATACCCTCACACAAAAACTTGTACATGAATGTTCAGAGGAAGACTACTCACAATAGCCAAATATCCACCAAGTAATGAATGAATAAATAAAACATGGTATATCCATACAGTGGAACATTACTCAGCAAAAAGAGAAATGAAATATTGATATAATATGGATGAACCTCGAAAATACTAGGCTAAGTGAAAAAAGCCACTCTCAAAAAGATCATGTACTGATCTTTTGAAATATTCAAAAGAGGCAAATCTATAACAGCAAGTAGACAAATTAATGGTTTCCTAGGGATAAGGATACTTAGGACATCCTATAATTCATCATATAACATTTGTTTTGTTAATTAAAATAGTGTCAAGTGTGTGGCTCAAGGAAATTCAGGGTAAACAATTTACCTGCTTTCCAACACTGTTTATGTCAAATTGTAGGGGGACACCTTTAGGGACTTTCTTTACATCAGATTGCTCCCGTTTTGTCAAGAATGAGGGCACAGCAGTACGAGTTAATCGTGGCTTCTGAGTTCTATTGGAAAAAAAAGAAAACGAAACCAGATCAGCTTAACAATCAAAAGAAGAAAAATAAATAATTTGATATATAGGACTATTTTAGGTTTTCCAAAAAAAGTAACTTAACCTTAACAGGCAGACTAAAATTTATAATTGCCCACAGAATAATTCTGTAAGTAGAACTCTGAACTTTTCAACAATCTGGAGCAATCAATGATTTCCAGTCTTGAAGTTCTATACAAAATAATGCAACCTCTGAAGTGTTAGACATCCTTCCTATGTTCTTTTTATTTTAATCATTAATATGGCTGGAAGGACCCAAAACTCCATAAACCTGGTAAGTTTATAATGCAATAAAACTAATGGAATGGTTAAGGTAAGGTCATCTAGATAAAAGAATACACTATGAAGCCTTTAAAAGGAAGGCATGTACTGTATGTACTAAAAGCAAAGATGTCCAAAATATACTGGGGGGAGGGGAAGTAGGGAACAAGTATATATATAGGATTATCTCACTTATTAAACATTAAAAATATGCTTAGATATTATTTGCTATACACTCACAGACTTAAAAAAAAATGGAACTATTAAAAGTGGTTACTTTAGGGCTGTACAACCTGGAATCAAAGGAGCTTTTACTTTTAAACTTTATACTATACTATTTCCATTTTGAACCACAATAATTACTTTTATCCTTTTCTCAGTTTATCCTAACTTGGACACCATATTTTGAGCTGAAATATGATACTTTTCTATAATTTTATAGAGCGAGGGGTTATAACTTTTGTAAAATAAAAGGGACTTACACTGGGCACTGCACTGCTCCAGGATTATCAATGGATACAGTCAAAATTCCTCCATTTGTGGTAGATGTCCGCCATCTAGTTTCAAGAAACCGAAAGCTTCACTAAAATGGAAGTTTATAAATCCTAAGGTATATTCCATAGAAAAGCTCACATTTTACAGAAGGCAGTATTTTTTCTTAATTTTCAGAAATATAGATACCTGGGTCACACCATGATATAGTTAACCAGCACCATAGGTATGGAACTGGACACATGAATCTATTAAATATTTTTCAGTGTAACAAATATATGCACGTTTAGAAAAGTAAAATAGCACAGAAGAGCTTCTAATTAAAAGTAAGAGTTCTTCAGCCCACTCTTTTCTCCCTTCCTGCTCCACTTTGCTGCTCTACAGAGGCAGCACTTTTATTCTTTCCTGTTTTTATTGCTAGCACATTACCTCTGCTTCACAAAACAAGATGCTTATGTAATTAGATCACACAATGATAAGAACTTAGGTTCACCACACTATCCCTTAGTCTCCCTACCTCTCTCTAAACATTTTGATGGCTATATCACTATTTCACTTCCATTATAACTTTAAATATATTTATATCTCTTTTACTAGTATCTCTAAATCTTTCTATCCTTACTTCATATGAAAGGATATGAGTACCTTTTATTCTTTCCTTCTCTTCTCCCACTTTGCATTTCCCACTTTTTTTCAACTCTATTTTCATATTTATGTTAGCCAAAATCTGACCTTTGTGTTTTATCATTACCAAATTAAGTATTTTGTGCTTTGTACTATAGAATTGTCCTCAAAGTTCAAAACAAACAGCATTTATATTGCTACAATTATGCAGATATTCATCACAGAAGACAGAAGCAAACAGACTATGATCATTTCCTTTCTTATGGTTTTCATTGTCATGACCCCACGTGCCAAAGAATACTGCAGTGTCAAGTTCAAATAGCTTCCTTTCTTATACTCCTATTGCTCAAAATCATGTCCCATTTTAGTTGGCATCAGATCTGGACTATGACCACGTTATATGCTGTCTTTCAAAAAGTAACCATAATTTAAAAACTTTAATCACAAAACCTGATCATACTGACACAATTAGAATGTTATAATTCACACTTGGGAAGTACAATTCTAACAGACAACAGATTTTTAAAAACTTATGGGAGAAAGGGGGAAATACATAAAAAGGAAAATATCTATTGTTTTGCAGTGTTCATAAATTTTCTAAAAGCTATTCCTTAAAAAGATTCATTTGCATAAAAGCAGTATAGGAAGAAAAAGAGCAGCCATATCACAATAGAATAAATAGGAAAATAAAATTTTTTTTAAAAATGATGTTTTATAGCTAAAACTATTTCTTAACACTCATGTAAAAATGTAAATGGGTTTTTGGGGGAAAACTAAAGTAGAATAGAGGCTCAATAGTTAATTTACTCTGGTTTTCATTTAATTTCTTTTGGTCTGAGACACATAGTAATTTGGGGTCACTAGTATTCTGGAGGGTTTTTTTTTTAAGATTCATTCATTCATGCATACAAGAACTGGGGTACAGGCCAGAGGCGCGGAGGGTGGGAGGATCTACCAGAGACAGAGCGGGGAACAGAACAGGCAGACTGACTGAAATACACTGCTGAGGGGAGCAGCAGGAGAGCCAGGAGAGGTCTGCTGCACCATGTGGGTTGCTCCCTGGCCAGGGATCGAACTCGTGCTGCAGTGGCTGTGGACTGTTTCATAGGTTGTGTCCTAACCCCCTGCGCCATCAGGGAGGCCCCTATTCTGGAGGTTTTGAAATTACATCTTGAAAAACAAACTGAAACTTACTGACGAGTTCTCTTTGCTACTACATCGTCTAGCAGTTGTTCTGTGTTCAACTGGGCCTGAACCTGAAGGGAAAAAAAAAGCAGTAGATTCCATAGAAAGCAGAGGATTTGAATCCAAGACCTAGTCTGTTTTGTAACTTTAAAACCCAGTATAGTGGGTGCATGAAAGGGGTGTATGCCTCATCTGGCAACACCTCCTGTATTAAAACAAGTGGTAAATACAAGTTTATTTCTAAATTACTTGCTGCTATTAAGGGTAATAAAAGAGAACAGAAAAAAATATTAGAAAAAGAACTAATTCGATGTCACGTTTGACAGATGTCTAACCCAACCTCTACCCTCAACCATGGACCATCCTTATGATATAGGATTATTAAAGGTGAATGATATTCAGGATCCTTTGTTTGGGGTAAAAAGAAATCACAACCAATGTTTTTTGATTTTAAAATACCTTAAGGCCTCTTCTGAAAAGAAAAGTTGCCTGACGAGTGTCCTTCTGATGACTTAATTTATTTCCACTCCTAGTAAAATTGGCTGGAACATTATTTCTGCAACAAAACCACATATACAATAAATCATCTGAGCTATGTAACAACTTTCAAATTTAATGACTTAAACATCTTGAGAAAAAACAAGCAAAAATAGTTAAATTCATAACCTGAAAATCTGAGGTACACTAAACATGAAGACTGAATTATTTCCTTACTAAAGATGAAGTTACTGAGATTTGATTTACAAACACTTCCCTCTGTAGCATATCATGTAATAACCTGGTTAATTTTTAATATCTTCCAAGTATTCAACTCTAATATTTCAACATGTAATATATCTTCTGATGACATTAGAAAAAACAATTTTAATGCTATTTCTAAATTTTGTGAAAGACATAAATATATAAAATTATTTATAGGATTAGTATAAAGAAAATCACACCAGTCAAACTGCTGAAAATCAAGAAGAAAAAGTCTTGAAAGTCTTATCTTTTCCATTTTTCTCCCTTTCTCACTTAAAAACCTTTAGATATTAAATTTGGACAAACTTACACTCTTCATTCTTGTTCTTTCATACACAGAATATACTATTAACTATATTTGACTTGACCTTCACCAATTCCTTTTTTGTTTCTATAGGAAGTATGAGAAAACAAATTTTTGTATTTATTTGCTCATTTCCTATTTATGTACCTATATATAAATATACACACATATATTTATGTACCTATATATGCATAATAATCATATAAATAAGTGCTTAACAAATTTTTATACTAAACTTATCTCCAACCTTATTGAAGCTCAAGAACAAAATTTCCCTAGCTAGCACAAAAAGCATGTACTCATTAACGGCTCATGGAAGTTAAAAGTCCCCTTTTCCAAGTGATTCCAAATGAGAAAGCGATGATAATTAAGTAAAACTGCAATTCTAGTCATTCCATTTATACAAAAACTTAAATCCACATTTATTTTGTTTTGCGTGATTGTGTACAAGAGGTGAATAAACAATTCTTGAAACTGAATAAAGGAAATTTCACAGCTGCCCTCTTTATTCTTATAGGGAACAGAATGCCGTAACAGTAGTTCTTTTTTTTTTTTTTTAAAGATTTATTTGTTTGTTTGTTTGTTTATACACACAAGCACTGGGTACAGTCAGAAGTGCGGGAGGGTGAGAGAATTCACCAAAGCCAAAGCGGGGAGCAGAGCAGGCAGAAGGACATAAGTACACTGCTGAGAGGAGCAGCGGGCGTGGCAGGAGAGGTCTGCACGCCATGCGGGACCCTCCTCCGGTGGCCGGGGAGCAGCTGGGGATGGAACCAGCGCTGCATAGGCTGCGGGCAGCTTCGTAACCCAGCGCTCAACCGCTGCGCCACCGAGGAGGCCCAGTAGTTCATTTTTTTTATTTAGTTTTTGTTATGCGTTTCCATTGAATATAAAAATAATTTCAGCTTAAGGATTCTGCAAAATTCTTTCTAGCTTGCTTTTTGCACACAAAAAAGCAGACATTGTTCTATTAAGAGCTACTGAGACTGAATAAACAAATTCTGCTTCAGAATTCAATTGTGAATAATTTTGGCTAAGGTGTTTTTAACAAAACATTCAGCTCTTGCAATTTTATTCTCTATGTTGAGGTAAAAAAGCAAAGAGATTTTTAAAAAATTTGCAATTAGTTAAATCCAGCAATAACATTGGGTCTAATGAATTAGTAATCTGTTATTATGTGTCATGTCAAATGTTCAAATAAATATTCTAAATATCTCTCCTGAAAGTGAACCCATAACAACAAATATCACAACGAATCCATTCCTTTAAATACTTATTGCAAGTGTGTTTTTATGCATAACATTATTTCTTATGATAACATTATTTCTTACATTTGAGTACTTACTTTCTATTTAACTGGTTAGGTCTCTTGAGAACTGCAACTGGTTTCCTCTGCATTTCATTTTGTCTCAGAAGGTTTGCCTTCCTTTTTAACACTGGAAAGTATCTTTCTATATTCTTTCAGAAAGTAAAAAAACTATGTTAATCAGATTATCCTTTGTTAAATACTCTACTTCAATAAAAATTTCTCAGGCAGAATGGATAGGGACTGACAACTGCTTAAATGTGCAGGTTAGAGTGATAAGACGCTAGGATGACTTGAAAGTTTCCAGTCTAAGTGATTGAAAAGATATTACGTTATACTTAAAAATACTTCCAACAAAGAAAATTCAAACAGAAAAGTAAATTTCATCTTCAATTTTAGTTATGTTCAGTTTGAGATGCTCTGGGGGGATGCACAGGTGATAGGGAAACATGGCTCTGAAGCTCAAAAGAATCAGAGACACAGGTATGTAAATTAGGGGATCACTTTACACATATATACACATACATATATATATAAAATTTATATGATTTTTATACCAAATGAAGGGGGCAAGAGGACAAGTTTCAAAACAAATGTGTGAAAAGGGGGAAAAAGAGGAAGCTGTGATAACCAAGAAGTTTGAATAGAAATGGTTATGGAGAAAATTACAGAATCAACAAAATTCTACATCACAGAACACAAGCACATGAAATGTCCATTTTTTCCTCCTTCCACATAAATTTAATCCATCATTAAAGCCTAATTTATGTTTCTGTGAAGTCTTTCCAAAAGTCTCTCACAATATGTACCATATCTTAACCTGGATTTCCATTTATTTCCAGCATATGAGAAGTACTTCGTAAGTATCAACTTTAAAGATATAAAAATTATACAATTCTTAATTTTCACAGATGTTTAGAAAAAAGTTAATGTGTGGGTCTCCCTGGTGGCGCAAGGGGTTGAGACGCAGCACTATGAAGCTATCTGCAACCACTGCAGCACAAGTTTGATCCCTGGCCAGGGAGCTAACCCACATGGCACAGCAGACCTTTCCTGTCTCACCTGCTGCTCCCTTCAGCAGTGTATTTCAGTACATCTGCCTGGTCTGTTCCCCACTCGGTCTCGAGGGAATCCTCTCACCCCTCACATCTCCGGCCTGCACCCCAGCTCTTGTATGGACAAATAAATAAATTTTTCAAAAAAAAATGTGAAAAAAGGATAAAGAACTTTAAGATGTAGAAAAAATGCTGTGAAATCTTACTAATGGTCAATTCCAAGCTTTGTATTTTGACTTTTCTTTTTTTAACAATTTTTTATTTTTGTTTTTGCATAGAAGAACTAGGGTGTAGGCTAGAGGTATGGAGGGGGATGAGAGAATTCATCAGAGACAGAGTGGTGAGCAGAACAGGCAGACTAACTGAAAATACACTGCTGAGGGGAGCAGTGGGCAAGACAGGAGAGGTCTGCTGTGCCATGTGAGATCCAACTCAGGCTGCAGGGGTGATAGTGCTGAGAACTATCACCAGGTAGGCCCTGTATTCTGTTTTTAATAAATACTCCAAGGGCCATTTTATAGTTAAATCTGAAAGTCTCTTCTCTGATCCTTTTGTTATGTTATTTTCCTTCAAAGTAAATGCCATATAATAATTATATAATTATTTGTGGGATAATGTAATATTTTCTGAGTTCCCCATGAATAGAGTGATTTTCTATTGCATTATTGTGGACTCCCCATAGTGGGTACTCAATCACCATTAGTTAAATGATGAATACATGAAACAGAACTATAATTCACTAACCCATGGTGAATGTGTGCTCCATGGACCTGAGTTTTGCATCTGTATATAAATGTTTTTGAAAAAATAAACCTAAGGGTAATTTTCTCTTTCACAATAATTTTGTTATAAAAAAATTATTCACTAAGGAATAAAACAAGGCACTAGCATTTTTAATGTTAATTTCATTAAACTAGTATTTATATACAATGAAATTTTAAGTATTCATTTTGATGAAATGGGTAATTACATATATTCATGTATTGATAACTACATCATAATCAAGATAGAACAGTGTCCTCATCCTAAAATATTTCTGTGTGCCCCTGTACAATAAATTTCCTTCCCTCACCTAACTCCCACCCCAGGCAAGGACTAATGTATTACTATAGTTTAACCTTTTCTACAAAATCAATTATGTGGAATCACACTGTACAGTCTTTTGTGGTTGACTTCTTTTGCTTAGTATGATGCTTTGAGATGATCCATGCTGTCCTTGACACTAGATCAAAAAACTTCATTCTGAGAGATGTCTATTCCATTAACAGTCATTTGCTCTCTCCGTAAATACCAATAGTGTAAATGAGGTATGCTGTCTGTTCCCAGTCACTCATTTCATAGGTAAGGAAACTTTATATATCTTTATTAAAATAATATTTCACTAATTTATAAATAATGGAAAGAAAGAATGTAACAAAGTCTAATTATGGTCAAAATTGCCTTTTTAAATATAAATTGTCTAAGCACATAACACAATACAAGACCAATTAAATTATTTAAGTAACCTGTTTAATGATTAGAAAGGGAAGGCATGAGTTATTACATATAAATAGAAAACTTTCTAAATTGGTAGAAAACATCTGCTTCACAAGTATTATACTCTCTCCTAACCAGGTTAATTTTATGCAGATTGAAGAAGGGGCTAAGAAACAATGTGTTTTAAACCATACCTCTGTCAAAATCATTTGAACTTTAATTAAGATCTTAATATCCATACTCAGTACAATTCTTACTACTTTTGTACATTTTCTATTTTCACTATTTTTTCTAACTTAAAATTTTTCACTAGAGCCAAATAATAAGTTACTAGTCCAACCCAATCTCTTTCAGTATCCACATCTCATTAATGTTCTTTTAATTCCTAAATAAATAAGTCCTCTGGCAAGATTTTGGAGGAGAGAACACCTGCTGGTGGTGTTAGCACTGAAAAGTCAAGGATTCTAAGGACAGTCACAGTTCTGAACCAGAATACAAATGTTTAAAATAACTTCAGGGGAGGCCCCCACGGTGGCGCAATTGGTGACGCAGCACTATGACGCTATTGGCAGCCACTGCAGCACAAGTTCGGTCCCTAGCCAGGGAGATGACCCACATGGCGCACCAGATCTCTCCTGACTCGCCCACTGCTCCCCTTAGGAGTGTATTTCAGTCAATCTGCCTGTTCTGTTCCCCACTCTGTCTCTGGTGAATCCTCTCACTGCCCCTCCTACCCCGCTGGCCTGTCCCCCAGTTCTTGTATACATAAATAAATAAATCTTAAAAAAAAAAACAAAAACAAAAAAAAAAAACTTAAAGACTGTAAAAACGGTCCATACCAAAAAGACCAGAAACAACAAGTACTGGTGAGGGGCATAGAGAAAGGAACTCCTGTACAGTTTGGTGGAAAAGTAGACTGGTCCAGTCCCTACAAAAAATAGTATGGAAGTTTCTCAATACATTAAAAATAGATCTACCATATGATCCAGCATTCCACTTTGAGGTACAGAAAGAATGCAAAAACACTAATTTGAAGGAATGCACGTCATCACAGCACTGTTTACAATAGCCAGGTTATGGAAAGAGCCTAAGTGTCCAACCACAGATGAGTGGATTAAGATGTGGTACATATACATAATGTAACACTATTCAGCTATAAAGAAATGATATCTTAACCATTTGTGAAAACACTGAAAGAACTGGAGAGGGTTATGCTAAGTAAAGTCAAAAGGAGAAAGAAAAGTACTATAGGACTTCACCTATATGTGGAATATAAAGAAACAAAACAAAGAAAAACACAAAACTAAACAAAACAAACCCTAGAAATCTGACTGCAGAATTGAGACTACCAGAGGGGAGGGAGTGGGATGGGGAACAAAGTTGGGGGGGTGATCCCAGTGGACTATGGTAGAAGATTATGGGTTCTTGGGTGGTGGGACTGGTGTTGTAATATACATCTAAAGAAATTTGAATCTATAGCTCTAAATCATATACAGTATTATAAACCAATGTTACCTCAATAAAAAAAAATGCAACTTAATAAAATAATAATAAATAATAAATGCCTTCAATTTTTTTTTTTAAAGATTTATTTATTTATTTGTTTATTTATACAAGCACTGGGTACAGTGAGAAGCACAGGAGGGTGAGAGAATTCACCAGAGCCAGAGCGGGGAACAGAACAGGCAGACTGATGAAATACACTGCTGAGGGGAGCAGCGGGCGGCAGGAGAGGTCTGCGCGCCATGTGGGACCCTCCTCCGGTGGCCGGGGAGCAGCTGGGGATGGAACCGGCGCTGCAGAGGCTGCAGGCAGCTTCGCAACCCAGCGCTCAACCACTGCGCCACCGGGGAGGCCCAAATGCCTTCAATTTTTATATGACTTTCACAATTAGAAAAACCAAAGGGATTAAAAAAATAGAAGAGTAGAACATTAAATTTCCTGGTGGCTCAAAGTTACTTAATATAACAGAAGAAAAAACATTTGTTAAATTACTTTAGAAATGTGTTCACTAACTCAAAAATTATTCCTTGAGATGTAAATAAAATGAATTGAAATTTTAAAAGCAGTTAACTTATGGTGGGCAAACAATTGTATTTGGTAATTGAAACTATCAACTAGAGAGTAGGTATCTACCCAAGAGGAATAAAAACCTATATCCATACATGCATACATACATATGAATATTCAATACAATACCACCCCAAATGTGGAAACCATCAAAATGTCCATCAACAGATAAATGGATAAACAAAATATGGTATATCAAAATAATGGAGTATTATTTCGTAATAAAAGAAATGAAATACTAATACATCTACAACAGGATAAATTTCAGAAAGATTATGGCTAAATGCCAGACTAAATATTACTCTATGAGTCCATTTATACAAAATGCAGAAAAGGCAAAATTTGTAGAAAATCCACAAAGTGATTAGTGTTCACTCAGACAGATGGTGAGGAATGACTATCAATGGACATAAGGTTTCTTTCCAGAGTAATAGAAACGCTCTAAAATTAGACTGTGATGACTGTATAACTGTGTAAATTTTCTAAAATTCACTGAACTGTATATGAATTTTATATCATAAAATTATATCTCAACAAACTGTTAAAAAGTATATACACATACTAGTCAGGAACCTGTAAAAATTTTTTGAGAATATGCAAATATAGGTATTATTCATGAATAATTGAGTTATTAAAGTTTTTATATAAGTCCCACAGTAGTACACTAAAAAAAAATCAAACTGTTTAAATAAAATGCTGTTTCAAGTTCATTCACAAAAAATATTAGCACAAACAAAGGAAAAGGATATCTGAGTCAGGATTAAGTCACCAATACCTTATCACTTAGAGGTGGTCGATTCATAGGACTAATTCCTTTTCGAATTCCAGTTGCTTTTCTAGCTGCAAGGCCAGTGATAACTCCATAAGGACGTCTCTTTCCAGGCATTACTCTTCCTCTGCGGCTAATGCTATTCTTACCAAAACCTGTAGGAGAAGAAAAAGGGAAGAAATAGCAATCCATGAATGCAACCAGGGACAAAGAGGTAGTATATTCTATTTCTTAGTCAGGGTAGAAGATATGAGTGATTTTTCAAATATTATTTCTATTTCTTATATTATTATATTATTGTTACATTATTAGATATTTATATCTATTTCCTTTAAATTATGTAAAATGTTTCAATTTTATTTTATTTTAAAAATTTATTTATTTATGCATACAAAAACTGGGGTACAGGCCAGAGGTGTGGCGGGTGAGAGGATTCATCAGAGACAAAGTGGAAAACAGAAAAGGCAGACTGAAATACACTGCTGAGGGGAGTAGTGGGCAAGTCAGGAGAGGTCTGCTGCGCCATGTGGATAGCTCCCTGGCCAGGGATCTAACTCGTGCTGCAATGGCTACAAATGCTTCACTGTTACATCTTAACCCCTTGTGCCACTAGGGAGGCCCCCATACTGTGAATATTATTTCATTTCTTTAATACTTTTATTGCATTATTTTTCACATGTGCCATACCTGATTCAACCAACTTTATAGTAATCATTTCGGTTACTTCTAATACTACACTATTATTAATAAAATTCCAATAATAGACACTTTTTTTAAAGATTTATTTTTTTATGCATACAAGTACTGGGGGACAGGCCAGAGGGGTGAGGGGTTGAGAGGATTCACCAGAGACAGAGTAGGGAACAAAACAGGCAGACTGACTGAAAGACACTGCTGAGGGGAGCAGCAGGCGAGTCAGAAGAGGTCTGCTGCACCATGTGGATAGCTCCCTGGCTGGGGCTCGAACTCATGCTACAGTGGCTGTGGATACCTTCATAGTGCTGTCTTAACCCCTTGCACCACCAGGGAGGCCCCAGCTGAGATTTTAATTAATATCGTTCAATCATCCATCCCACTGCACTCATTTATTAGTTCTAACAGTGTTTCAAATTATTTTCTTGGGATTTCTATGAGGCAATCATATCATCTATAAATGATAGCCTTTTTCCTTCCAATAATTACACCTTAAATCCTTTTACTTCTATTGCAATGGCCAGAAATTCGAGAGAATCACATTAAGTAACAAATGTAATAGTGTGCATTCTTATCTTACTTCTAATTTGGAGGAGAATGTCTTTAGAATGATATCCTGTATACTACTACATACCTGCAATATGGTAACAGATCTTCCAAAGGAAAAGTTTCATGGTCAAACTAAACACAACTGACCTTCTGAACAATGCACATTTGAATTTCACAGTTTCACATACAGGAGAATTTTTTTGTAAACAGATGACATAAATTTATATACAGTAAACTAAATGTATTCTTTTCCTTATGATTTTAGTAACATTTTCCTTTCTGTAGTTTATTTTGAGAATATGTAATATACATAACTTAGAAAATATGTGTTAATCAACTGTTTATCATCAGCAAGGCTATCAGTCAAGAGCAGTTAAGTTTTGGGAGAGTCAAAAATCACTTGGCAGGACATGGAAACAGACTAAATGTTCTCTGACAGATTAGATCAAGAAGTCAACATGTAGGGCCTCCCTGATGGCGCAGAGATTAAAGTCTCAGTGCTATCAAGCTGTCCCAGCCACTGAGGCATGAGTTGGATCCCTGGCAGGGAGTTTACTCACATGGCACAGCAGACCTCTCCTGTCTTGCCCACTTCTCCCCTCAGCAGTGCATTTTCAGTAAATCTGCCTGTTCTGCTTTCCACTGTGTGGTAAATCCTTTCACCCCCTGCACCTCTGGCTTACACCCCAGTTCTTCTTTTCTTTTTAAAGATTTATTTTTTCATTTATACAATAGCCAGGCTACAGGCCAGAGGCTCGGGAGGGCAAGAGATTCACCAGAGACAGAGTGGGGAGCAGAATAGGCAGAAGGACCAAAAGTACTGCTGAGAGGAGGAGCGGGCCTGACAGGAGAGGTCTACCGCACCATGTGGGAATTTCCCTGGCCGGCCGGGAATTGAACCCATGCTGCAGAGGCCACAGACAGCCTCATAGCGCTGCGCTCAACCCGTTGTGCCACCAGGGAGGCCCACCCCAGTTATACTATGCATAAATAAAAACAAATCTTTTAAAAAAAGTCAAGATTTATTAAGTCCACACTATGGAGTACTATATAGCCCTAAGAAAGGATAAAATATAGCCATTTCCAACAAAATAGAGGGAATTTGAGAGAACTATGTGTAACAATAAACAATGAAAACAAATATTGGATATTTGCACAGGAATTTGAAAAGGTAAAAACTCTTTCAAAAACCAGTGGGCCTCTGGGCCTCCCTCGTGGCGCAGGCGGTTGAGCGACACACTGTGAAGCTGTCCGCAGCCTCTGCAGTGTGGGTTTGATCCTGGCCGGCCGGGGAGAATCCCACATGGCACAGCAGACCTCTCCTGTCTCGCCTGCTGCTCCCCTCAGCAGTGTATTTTGTCAGTCTGCCTGTTCTGTTCCCCATTGTCTCTTGTGAATCCTCTCACCCTCCTGCACATCTGGCCTGTACCCCAGTTCTTGTATAAATAATCTTTAAAAAAACACAACAAAAAACCAGTGGGCCTCAATAAATATCCTGAGGGCTCTGAGATTAAGAGAAGGGAAAGAAAGGTAAAGGGAAAAATAAAGGATGATGGTAGGGAAGAAAAATAAAGATGAAAAATAAGTGAGATAAAATTGAACTCATGATAGATATAATGGAAAACTTAAAAATATAAAAAGCTCTACGAAGAATGAATGTCAAATATGTCTTTTACAAACAGCTAATATCTACAGGATATGGAAATTCACATGGATTGATAATAGGGTTTTAATTCAGAGAATGCAATGGACAAGGAGATAGTTTTGTGCTTTTTTTAAAAATCTAAATGCTTTAATCAAATAAATATTTTTGAGTCGTCAACCTTGAAAAGTCAAAGTTTTAAAAATTAAAATGAAAACTTAATGGAAATTTTTGACAGCGCAGAGGTCAGTGCAGCTTAACCCCCATCTTGTTGAAGGGTCAACTATAAAGTTAACATGGTTTTCTGACTGTGGGACTTTATTAGATTTCAGCTCTCAATTCACTCTTTTCTACCTTGCACTGTTACTGAACAGTTCTTTATCTGATCAACAGGCACCATGTTAAGCTCTGTCAGTAGAGGGCACTGGAAGGACTCTGGAGGAAGAAGGGTTTTTCTTCCAACTTCCAGTGAATATCTGAGGACTTGTTCTCATACTCAGAGACATTCATTACCCTCCCCAACAAACTGAGATTGTGGTAAGGCAAGAAAAGTGCTTAGGGCACAAAATCTGGGAGGCCTTAGGCATCTGTCTAGTTAGGCATCACTAAAGTTCTGTCCTTGCTCATACTCGAGTGAATTTAAGCTATAACCCCACCCCCCAACAACCCGCCCCATAGCTTCCAAGACAGTCCCACCAGCATGGCAACAAAGTGGGACAGGGAGTTCTTCCAGATTTGTTCCTTCTTGGGTGCTCTGCCTCAGTCCTAAAGGTAGAGACTTACTACTTTTATATCCATTAAAAAGCAATAAAGAGATATTATAAATTTTATTTTTATTTTATTTAAAGATTTATTTATTTATGCATACAAAAGCTGGGGTACAGGCCAGCGATGTGGGGGTGGGGGGGTGAGAGGATTCAGCAGAGACCGAGTAGGGAACAGAACAGGCAGATCGACCGAAATACACTGCTGAGGGGAGCAGCAGGCGAGACAGGAGAGTTCTGCTTCACCATGTGGGTTGCTCCCTGCGCGGGGATCAAACCCATGCTGCAGAGGCTGCAGATTGCTTCATAGTGCGTTGCTTAACCCCTTGCACCACCAGGGAGGCCCAATTTTATAAATTTAAAAAATCAAATTATTGCTGCTCTGTGTGTGACTGCCTTCTAGAATTACAACTGTACAAAGACCAAGCTATACATTTAAATTAAATCTACAACGACTTGTTATTTTTATTTTTATTTAACAATAAAGTAGCTAGCATCACCTGTGTTAGGGATTGTGCTTGATGCAAGAACTTAATAAGGTTGATGCTAACATCTCAATTTTGCAGATAAGAAAAGTGAGGCAAGGGCCTCCCCGGTGGCGCAGCGGTTGAGCGCTGGGTTGCGAAGCTGCCCGCAGCCTCTGCAGCGCCGGTTCTATCCCCGGCTGCTCCCTGGCCACCAGAGGAGGGTCCCACATGGCGCGCAGACCTCTCCTGCCGCCCGCTGCTCCCCTCAGCAGTGTCCTTCGGTCCTTCTGCCTGCTCTGCTCCCCGCTCTGGCTCTGGTGAATTCTCGCTTCTGACTGTACCTAGTGCTTGTATAAACAAAACAAACAAACAAACAAATAAATAAATAAAACATGCCTCTGTTAAAAAAAAAAAAAAATTTAAAAAAAAAATTAAAAAAAAAAAAAAAGTGAGGCAAAAAACAGTGACCACCCAGAGATCACAGTAAGAAAATAGTGATTAAGTACAAGTGTATGGGGTTCCAAAAACTGTGTATTTTTCTAAATTGTTAAATAAAAACTAAAAAATAATAAGGGAGTTGTAATTATGGTTTATTTCCAAAAAAAGAAATTAAAAAAACTATTATAAAAAATGTGGGCTCTAGCTGGGTATTATAAAGCAGGAAAGATTTGAACATGAAGAGAGCTAGGACATGATAAGTACAAAGACACGGGTGACCACGGAATAGTGAATGTCTAGGGAAAAGAGTAAGAATAAAGAAGTGAATGGATATGATGGGGTCAAATCAAGAGGGCTTTAAATGGAAACACAGAGTGCACTGGACAAGGAATTCATAACAGAACTACATAAATCCAGAAGGATCTTAGATTGAAACGTGAAGGGGAGGAGAGTGGTGTTGTGGGGAGGGGGGAAAAGGCAGCAATAAGATAATTTCAGATGCTCTTGTGGCCCTCAAACACTACACGATAAACAGCTGAGAAAGGAACAAAGAAATATGAAAGTATTCATTCCAACAGAATGAATGACTGACTAGAGCAAAG